GCTATATTCAAATTGAATACAGAAGGCCAGGGGAAGTTTTAGCCGTCTGTTCCTCACACAGCTATCATATGGCTTTAAATGATATGGATTCTAATGCACAAGTACTATGGACCACTGTTATAGTGCTTTTTTGTCTTATTTGCTGTCTCTATTATTAAAACAAGCCCTCTAGACATTCTACACTAGTGTTTAGTTGTGCTCCATGGAAAAAAGTAAGTCTAACAGGTTTAGAATGACATGAGACATAAGGATGAGATCCCTTTTAAAGTATTAAATGTCGGTATATGTGTGTTCATACCTGATGACAGACTTCTGATAGGAGGAGCAGGCAGCTTTCTCCTCTGATGGCGAGACGAGTCCAGCGTCTGGGGCTGATGCAGGAAAAACATTAACTCACTAATATTCTAAACTCATTCACTAAATTTGAATGTGTCTTTAAAGTTCAAAAAGTGTAATGCTCACGAAACTCACCATAGGTTTAGATTTGTACTTGGAAAACCGTGTGCATGCAGATACATTTAGACCTGCAGTTTTGAGGGCTGATATTCTTGCCTCAATATCTGAGATCTGCAGAGAACAGATAAACTTCTGAATTTACACTTGAATAGTTTGATACTGTTACACCTATCAGTTAAATAGCACATTTAGGATTAAGTCTATGGTCTGTATTATGTAACATGCAAGCGCACACCTGGAGCTCGGACTGCTGCACCTGGGCAGCAGCAGTGGCCACCTGGTCTTCTAGGAAGGCCAGTTCAGTCTCTGTGGTGGAGCTGCTGATGCTGCGAGCACAGTCTTCTAAGTCACTCAGCGCCCCCTCTAGGCTGTACACAGCACCTGCAGCCAAATACACCTGCACACAGTTCACATGATCACAAAATTAGATCAGAGAGACATCAGAATGTCTCTGATGAAAAGGGAGAACTGCACGACGCATAAATGTTAACACCAGGGATTTTCAAAGTGTGGTCGAGGTAGTGTTTTAACATTTTAAGTCTCTACTCACTTTTAATCAATTTAACATATTCTTGTTGAATAAAAGTATTAATTTCTTACAAAAAAAAATAAAAATACTGAATACAAAATACAACTTTTGAACAGTATTGTCTATTGTTACAGAATATTTCTATTTTGAATAAGTGCTGTTTCTTTTTAACTTTTTATTCATCAAAAGAATCCTGAAAAAGTATCACAGGTCTCCCCCCCTCCTCCAAAAAAAAAAGAAAATAAGCATCAAAAATGGTTTCCAACATTGATAATAACAAATCAGCATATTAGAATGATTTTTGAAGGATCACATGACACTGAAGACTGGTGTAATGGCTGATGAAAATGCAGCTTTGCATCACATGAATACATTATTTTAAAGTAAATAGAAAACCATTATATTTAAATCAATAATAATAATAATATTTCACAATTTTACTGTTTTTTTCTGTATTTTTGATCA